TATATATATATATGAAACATCATATTTCTCTAGCTTGTACATGTACGACGGGAATCAACATATTATCATAAAAGCCACGGTCAGATAAGGCGGTCCCTAACATTCGTCTTGTCCCAGTAAGAAACCGACTGGGCGCTTTTACGTCCTCAAAATTATTACCCTATCCTTGGATTCCATAGTGCGGAACTCACTAAAGACAGGAAGATAGCATTAGGTTCTAACCAGTTCTCGATCAAATTAACTTTTCATGAGAACTAGACTGAACTAAAAATCTACACTGGCGAAAAAAATTGTCACAACATTTTGAAATCCTTTGATCCCATTATCGGTCGTCCGAAAAAGTGTACTAAATGATCAAAGATGTTGAACCAGGCAACAAAGTACTTACCACGGGGCCTGGGGGTCCAGCAATACCCCTAGGTCCTGGTTCACCCCGATGTCCTCGTAGGCCGACAGCTCCCTTTGGACCTGGTGGCCCAACAAGCCCCTTTAATCCATCGTTCCCTATTACTCCTTTGATTCCAACAGCGCCCTGTTCACCACGCTCTCCGCGAAATCCAACGGGGCCCTTCAGACCTGGTTCGCCTGGGGTACCAGGAAGTCCTGCTGGTCCTCGAGCTCCCTTTAGGCCCGGCTGACCCATTGGTCCACTTTTACCATCCTCACCAACGGGACCCGGATGTCCACGGGATCCTGGAAGTCCGGGTGGACCTGGATCTCCAACAAATCCCGGTGGTCCGATGGGACCGGGAATGCCGATGACTCCAGGAAACCCCGGAGGACCTGGCTCCCCTGGTGGTCCCTTTTTGGAATGAGAAAATGGTTAAGATAAAAAATGTATACATTCTGGAACAATAATCATACCAATTATTCTTCGGAGATACCCCTAACTTTTAATCAGAGGAATAACTTCAGACTTGTCAGCGAGACGTAGTCCCCAAGTTTCCACCAACCATAAAAAAACATTTCAATGACGATTTTTCCTTTTGATGGAAGAAATTTTGAGTTGCTGGTGCTCTCGGACGAAACTCGAGTCCAGTGATTCCCCGTTGTTGTGGACTCACCAGAATGATCAAACTAGGACAGGAGGACGACTGTTCAAACGGGAGAAATTTCATCGCTCGATAGGCTGCTCATGACATAGGCTGATGAATCTCTGCTGAACTGAGTCCTGGGATGACAATCACACTAAAAACTTGGTCTGAGGGTGGGTTGAATTCTTTGTCTTTTCGTACTAGCAGTGATATGAACCGTGTAACTGAGACAAAACGCGCAATTTCGTGCCTATTGTGAGTTGACCACATTATCGATTAGCAATTCGTGACCAACTGATAGGGTGCTTGAAGGTTGCGGCACTCAGTGGGTAAAAATTATTTCACCTGGCAACTTAGCACGTTCTATTCGTTCGACTACACCCTTGAACGCTCTGAATTTAATGGCACACCAGGCAGTTACAAAGGTGTAAAAAACTCACTAATAAATATTTTGCATGCACACACCAGGTGAACAGTTTGGAATCAAACTGCCTAGTTCAGGGAACAAACAAAAGGCCACGGCGACATTCTGGGGCGCAGATGTTTACGTAAATATGGTGGCTCAGCCCAGTCATTGGTTTGGAGTCAGGCATGCTCTAAAATTTTGTGCTCAGCTTATTTATTGCTCAGGAGCACTATTTGACAACAGAGTCTAGAGGATTAGCAAAAATGACTGATCAAAAACGGGCAGCTTCAACATCTACCCAAAAGGGGTTTGGCAACGTGAGATAGGCTCCCAAGTGGTGTTTGAAAAGCACTTTTATTCAAATGCCAACAACTAGATTCTGAAAAGGACCCTTTAGTGGGCAACAGCTTCTTAATCAGGCTCCTTTATGACGGAACACTCCAACTGCTTTTGCGAATGAGTGTATTTCGCCCAAGGTTCCCTCTTGATTGAGGTCGGTATAGATAATAAATTTCATCTTGAATACTCATGGTTCAGAAACTTTCAGTAGGTTGGCGCAATTCAAATGTAGGTTGTTGCATAATTGTGAGCTGACTGCGTCTCATCTCATTGCTTTTGGGGGGTAGAATAGAATGATTTTACTGGTTATTTATAAGCTATGAAGGGACTGATCTAGCTCTCCTCTGAGTAATAGCTCTGAAGAAACCACACCTTTGATTCTATGAACAATGCTCTTACTCACATTGTGTTCCGCTGGGACCATTCATGCCTAGTGAGTGAGCTTATCCGTTGGTTGAAGGTCGTTCGTACTAACCTCACTCTCATTCCTCTCGCTCTTACTCACATTGTACTCCGCTGGGACCATCCATGCCTAGTGAGTGAACTTATCCGTTGGTTGAAAGACGTTCGTACTAACCTCACTCTCATTCCTCTCCTCACATTAATAGGGCATGAACAAATCGGTCTTCAAAACACCCGGCACATGAACAAATCGGTCTTCAAAACACCCGGATACCTTTTGTAGTCTGGCTTACACAACCACTTGTGCTCCAAAGCGGAACTCAGTCTTGGATCTCAGTCGCGCAGAACTTATTAGGTTAACTTAGGATGCAATGACTGTTGACTGCTAATCAGTCGTTTGGAGTGCACATCTTCTTGAAGGTCCGAAAGATCCGGGGTCGCGGTAAAGAAGCACACACTTGGGTCAAGGACAATTGCTCCAGGCAATCTGGAAAATTAAATGCAACTCTTTCTGAATAGCGCTCATTCTGACCAGAAATGCGTCAAAATGAGCACAGTTTTGCTCGACTGACATTCATCATTCTAACTGCGATAGCAGAATTTTGTCAGCAGTAAGTGGGTAGTCATGCGAACGTTGTTCAGATGAATGGCTTGTGAAGATACAAGTGGCGATAGAAAGGCTTATGCAAACTAACGGCTAGTCTACCAAGAGCTTGAGGTCTTGACTCGCTTAGTGCTTGTGATGCATGTGTTTCAAAGGTAAAATACTTTCGTTCATCTCTACCCAAGATTCAAGGCCCCATGAGCCTAGGAAACGTGTACCAGGGTAAAACAGCCGCACCCCAAAAGTCCACTACAAAATACCCTGTAGAGGTACACATTATGTCCACCTCACTACTAGCGAAACCGAGCGTTTTGGCTTGTGCTCAACCGGAACATCAGCAGTTTGTTCGGTGTAGGAGTGGCCTCCCTGATCTACTGAAAATTCTGTCAGTATACTGAAAGTCTATGGTAGCTGTACCCAGCAGCTGGACCAAAATCATCCAAGTCTTGTATGACAACAATTCGGGGGATTCTGCAAGTGAGTTTCGAATAAGACGCCATTGCTACCAAACTTAATAGCATATCACACGGTTCGGATCTTTCGAAGTACCACTCAGTGCATCCACAAACAAACAGGTGTGCCAACCTATTACAGCATAATCAGCCACAAGTTTTCATATCAAAATTTATTCGTAGATAATCACGGATATTCTCACCATGGTCACTCGAATATCCTGGTACGTAGTGACGTTTTGAGGCACTGGGCCTTTAACCATCTGACGCAGTTGGGAAAGCTGTCCTTCGGTCTCTTGGGGTGGCTAAAAAAAGAATGGAATCCCAACGGCTACTTATGTTTTACCAAGTTTGGGAACATTATGCTAATCATATTACTGATAAGTGGCAAACGAACATACAAGAATTCACGAACATTCGAAGAATTGCGTTGGGGAGTGTTTGAAATCACCACTGGGAACCAATGAAACTGTCTCTGGTTGGTGACGCAATCGTCTTTCGTTCATGAAGAAGTAATTCTTACACTTGTCTTAAGAGGTGAAAATCTGGACTACTCATGTGGAATAGAGTAGAATTTGCGTATCGAATTTGTTGGTCACAGAAAATGTGCTGTGATACGATCAACCGGTAATCGTGGTCGAGTTCTACGCGTAGTAGGATTGCAAAGACCACTAAGTTAGCGGCACCTTAGTGATCAGAGCTGGTTTAAATCACGTTCTCGGTTTGCTAGGACAAACACCGAAACTGCCCATAAACCTGCGAATGCCAGGTCTTCATGAAACTTGGGCGGTTTAGCATTGGTTACCAAGATGCTTGATTATTCATCAAGTCCTGTTGTGAGGGGTGCATTAGCGCTCGCATTGATCGAACTCGTCTAGAGCAACCATGACTGAGCGCAAGATTTAGTCTACGCTGGGACACTAGTTGTCCTTCCGGTTTGAGGACGGTGGCATTCTAAAGCCAATCTTTTTTGTATTCAGATTTTTCCTTTTAAAGATCAATTATACAAAAGAGAAATTTTTCTTGTGACAACTCCCTCTTACTGCTTGATTCTGGATGACAATGAACCTTGGGCAAACAACGCTGCAAAGAGGAATAGCGTAAACCTTATCCGGTTAATCAAATCCTGTGTAAATAGTTGGTTTTTTCTTGACATGAAACTGCCCCTGAGGGTCAACTTGTCTCAATGGCTGCTACGCTGCCATATTGAGGTGTAGCTCAACTACACTACTGCTCAAAATCAAACTTCCTTTGATGAACTTTACGGGCTAAAAGTCCATTCTGACTTCGTTTCGCACACACACTTTGGTAACAGATCTCAGTGAGGAGAAAACAGTTGTTTCATGTTTCTCAGCATTTAGACACTATCTGATAAACTCCAACTTTTCGACAATTGACTCCCAGATGAGGATTCATGTGAGTCAGAAGTATTCGGAGTTAAATAGAATCATAGAATCATGGTTTCTTTTTTTGAACTTCCATTACACTGCAATTTTTATGACAACACAGAGACTAATAGTTGGATCAGTTGCTGATGCATCAAAACCATAGAATATTCTGGACCGAGGAACAATGTTAATTACCACTTACCGGCCCTGGTGGTCCCGGGAGTCCTGGCATTCCATTGTCACCGTCAAACCCAGGATCACCCGGTGGCCCTGGAGGACCAGGTGGACCCTGTGGTCCTTTTAGTCCCGTCGGTCCGACAGGAGGGGGAGTGGCTGGCTTCCGTGTGGTAGTGGTGGTTGTAGTCCTGGGGGTCGTGGTCGCCATTGTTGTACTTGCTCTGGTGGTCTGTTCTTGTGTATAGGTACGGGGGGTTGGACTGGGCCATTGAGGTTCCTGTGGGTACAGTTTACCCCTGAAAGTTAGCATAATCATCGCTGCATTTTGTCAGCTGCTATCATTTACATATACGAATGGACTGCTGCTCAAAGGATTTCGGGAAGCTGTTGGTTCATCTACACTTGACTGCCACACTCGGTTCTTAACAAGAGTGAAACCTTACCCCAGGAACAAGCTTCGGATATTGAGGACACCGATTGCATGATTCATTAGCAATTCCCACTGTTTGTCGTATTTTTTGTTTTTGGAGTTCACCGACCACTTGTTACTGATGGCAGATGTATGGATAACGAGTGTGCGTTGAGAACGTAATATGCGTTTTACATCATCCTTGGCATTATACGTGTTGTGTCCATTATCCGTATAAGTCTAACAGCAGTCTCGACTCCGTCCCGACCCATGTTCACAGGACCCGAAAACCCAAGACGATCGGCCAAAGCACTTTAAACAGATTATGTAATTCCCCCTGCTGACAGGGGTATTACCTACCGTACGTAAAATAAACCTGCCTATGGTAGAGTGACAAATCAAAGACCAGATAAGACAGACCTGACGAATGAGCAATCCTAATTGGAGTTCCGGTTCATTTTATGGGCTCAATTTGAATGAAATGTGACTAAACACTGCGATTTGCACGAAAATTCATGATATCTTCGAAATGTGATAGAAACATAATGAAGATGGAATTTCAGACAGTTTGGATGAGCCAAAGCGTCTCCACAAAACTTGTTGGATTTCGTGATGTTTCGGAGGCAGGAAAATTCATTTTGATCTTGCAATCTGTGTGCTTGCGGACCCCTTGGCATGCATGAGTAAATTCAATAAACTGAGTGCAAAACGATACCCAGGTGGTTAGAGGACGTAAGAGATAAGGAATCATACACGTAACTCAGGTGTTGAATACTCGAAAGCTATAAGGGGGCTGGGACGCAGAAGAGTACTTCAGTGTCCTAGTTACTTTGAAGAACGACCATTATTCTATATGGCCCCCGACACGGGTGACTGAAGTGGAATGACCCGTTTCACGGATGAATCATGATGGACACAACCGATGTGCTACCCATTTCATTTCCCATGTATACCGAAGGTATACTTCGAGATCGAAGTAATTCAGAAAACACGTAGGTAAGGTCACAGATGTATCATGTATGCATACAAATCCGATCACAACTCCAGGTACCACACAACAGTTCGCTGATGGATTGACGAACGGACACGCACGCGTGCGAACTCTCGGACGCATTCAGCCTGCCTCTACAAACCTCCACGGCTAGTTTATGCAACTCCCACCTGGTAACGTCCGACGGGCTTTGACTTCCGTACTGATCAGCATAGGCACCCTGACGAATATGGAGTAGCTATCACTTGCGGCAAACCGGAGTCCACCTGTATGGTCGGCTTTGGTGTTGACTCCACATTCGGTCTATGTTTTCCAGCCCGATATAGTCTAAGTGACGGCCTGTTATCCTCCCATCTTCTAGCAGCGTATCGATGAGGCTACGGTTTGTTGACGTCGCAATCCACACACCTACTATCCTTATATGATGGCTGAATTTTGACGTAATCATCCACGCCACTCCGTAATGTGCGAGGTCGGGTGTTTTTATCCGCCCGTAGCAGATCCAAACGTGTTCGAGGTATCCGATCCGTGAACAATTTACAGGGAATAAAGAAAACGACTCACAAGGCTGCTGAAAACTCTTCGACAGCCCACTACCAGTTTCGAGCTTTCTGGGGCCCATCAGGTAGGTGTAGTCACCGAGTTTCCGTCAACCTTGTGTTCTGCTTTAGTCTCCGGTGAAAACCAAAGTGATTTGCAAGTGAGTGTATTAGTCTAAATTTACAGGGCACTTTGCCTGTAGTAGCATGCAGCGTAACTCAGTATTGCAGCAAAAACTTGTCAGGTCTTGTTTCATCAATCCGTTCTTCACCGTTGCCACCGGGCGTTTAGCTTTAGAAGCGGGATGGTAAGGTTCCTGTTAAAACAGGTTCTATCCTGTTGGTTTTCACAAACAGTTGAATGCGGTGTTGAAAAAAATCTTACCAGGTACACCACGTGATACAAAAGGGCTGCACAGAGTATAAATGATAGATGCACTAGAGGCAGTTCTAGTGGGCACCACTTCTATCTATTTAGAGTACGCGTCAACGATCACGAGGATCATATAGCTAACAATAGGAGCATGATAGTCCACGTGTATGCGACTCCATGGTCGCGATGGCCATTGCCATGGTAGTATAGATGCCACTACCGGCGAAGCCCCATTTTGCTGGCATGTTCACACTGCTGCGCCATCATTTCCACACCATACTGAGTGCTTTGGTTACGGTGCCTCTATGCCAGAATGGTCAACCGTTCCGTACTGAAATGGAGATCAAAATAGCCCACATGATCAGCCAGGGAATCAAGCTTTTCGTTAATTCTAATTACTCATAAGTATGACTTCAATCCACTCTTGAAAAATATTTGCGTGAACTTTTAGGTAGTGAGTAATGTTCCGCGGGTGTGCTAGCATTGACTGTGGTTGTATAGTCACCGAGCAATTAGGATGGTCCACTCTGATTTTTGTACTCGGTATCCCGATACCATAAACACTTTATGGCTTGCACGCATGTGGCTTTCACTAGCAAGTTGGTGGGTGTGTGTGCACGCGGCAGTTTGACTGGAAGCATCAACCTTATGAGCCGTATAGCAATTGGTCGGTCAATCGGAGCCCCACACACTCGTTTACGGCGGAGATGATTCTGTTTTCATCAGCTCATCTATACCGATTGGTTTCCAAACGTTTCCGAAAAATGCTGATATTTACCTTCAGCTTGCATCACTCCGTTCGGCTCCGAACTAATCTAATCGCACGCATTGGTCGAAGTAATTTCCAGCGGCCAGTCGGATGTGCGCGCTTACCGGCCTCACTTACCCATGGTTTGGAATGCAGTCAACCAGGACGAGCCAGGACAGCGATTTACTACTGTCAATATGACTAATCTCAAAATGATTTGGTTGGATAGCCAACTGAGATTGTATGCCGACCTTGAGAAGTAAACTGTGTGGTGCACTAGCCAACCAACACACCGATACCGAACTCAAAGTCCCATTTGAGCATAACTTCGTGGTCGAATGATTTGATTCCTTCTAAATGGGCTGAACGGGTGTGAAAGCACTTGCATTCGAATGAATATGTATCACCAGGGAGCCCTTGTATAACACATGCTGTTGAGGAATATTATAAACAAGTGATCCACTTTAGTGACTGGTTAGTGACTGGTCAAGTCGAACATAATTTTTGACGGAAACTCGGGGGCAACATTCACCAGATGATCCTGAAGAAGGACAAAGCCGGTTGTGAACTGTCAGATAGTTTTCAGCAACCTAGCTAATAACATGGTCGTCAAGATAGTACGTGAGACAGTCGAGAGTGGGACAGAAACACGGTGATGAAAAGATCCTACACCTCCACAGAAAACAATAGGATACCCCACTTGACAAACCTATCTGGCCAACCTTAATACTCTGAACAACCTTAGATTGACCAGTACCTACGGTGTCTAATCATTTTGTAGCTTGATATTCAGGGTCAACTGAACAGCTGAAGAGAGCAGCTGCCATGGGACTTCATACCAATATGGTGGAATTTCCCCCACCCCCTCGTAAACTTGCTTTTCAGAATGGGGTGTGATTTTTTTCGGATGTAAAGACCTTTTTATGGCATCTTAAATTCAATAAGTTATATTTCCGGAATATCACCTTATGGCATGAATAGTTCCGCTTAACCGATCACCGAAAGAACAGGGCCCGTAAATCTGTCATAGTTTTCGTCAGAGGCCACACTTGTTAAATCTAACCCTGCCAAATTACTGGTGGAAGACGAGATACTGGTTGCGGCGTACCAACGTTCCTCTGGAGTGCACGACTTGGCTCTGCAAGAGCCAATGAGTATTAGAAGGCCGAGTATGACTCTTTCACAAACCCAGGAAGCCTGACTCATTTACAATTAGCACATATAAACAAGCTCGGAGGACCGGCTAATGTTGTGTATACTGTAGTACATGGTGTCTGCCAGTGTGATTGATTTATATGTAAGCATTGTTGATGTACAACCTTGCTTACTTGGCTTCGGTTCATGATCTTTCTTTCTGTCTTCTATCTACAGAAATTGTTGTGAACCCCTAACTTCGGAGAATCACCATCTCCTGGTGCCTCGATGACGTGCATGCTACAATAAGAGCATAGAGTTGAAAAGTGTACCTACACTAACTGAGGAATAAAATTCGAAAAAAGTTTGGAATGGGGGAAGTTAACGACTCAGAGGCTTCGTCAAATCCGGTGAGTAGATTACAAGGTTGGTCGCGCTTTGAGACAGTCTCTCCTTCAAATAGTAGACTAAAGCGGTGTTGAATATCGGTTAAAAGTCCTACGACCACTGATGCCGGATTGAGATAAGTTTTGACACCTTGTTACTCAGGCCAAGGAGCTCCAGTCGGTGGTCTGTGGAAGTGAGAACGGGAGATATTACGTGGGCTTTAGTCCGCTTGGCCCATTAAATTCAGACCTAATGCCACTTCTGTTGATGTGTCGTTTTCATCGATAACCGCCCAATACCACGTTCAACTCGGCAGCAGAATGTTTTGGCCGGATCAAGCGGTTAAGTCGAAGTGGTTTTACAAGTTTCCAAATAAGCTGATCACTCACTTCAAATTTATCACGGAGACAGAGGCGTTTTTGGACTGCATTACGTATAAGACCGGTAAAAAACCACTGTTCAATAGAGGCCCAGCTGATCTAGTACAATTTCGGGCTATTCACAGACCCATCCCAAACCACTCTCATCGTGAGTTTGGGGGATCAGGGGTTTTGTGCACTGAAGAACTTAACCGAACATCTGACCAAAATGGAGTACAAAGAGACTCTGAGATTGAAGATTTTCAGATAGTTTGATTAGGTGTCAATTAAGGAGAGTAGTGATAATCATAATTAGACTCAATAGAGAGTGAATGAAGAAAACGGGTCCTTAATACGGGCAACTTAAGGGCGGCGT